ACGTCTACTGCTACTCTGATCACAAACTGTAATTCAATGAAGCCCCTATATGGGCTTTCAGACGGCCAATCACCAGCAGCTGTAAAACCAGGAATATTGCTTAAAYTCTTTACTGTGCGGTTTTTGTCTTATATACTGAATCAGAATCTTGCTGGAAGATTCAATGCTCTTCAGCGAAAAGACTATGGCTTAGCTGCCTTCAAAATCGTCCCGCTGGTAAGCTTTTGCCACATTTTTAACCATTTTTTGAAAGAAGTGCGGAGGTTCAACGACTTTGCAGAAGACTCACCATACCCTTACAGCAGCYGGAAGGAAATGTTTGTTGAAGAAATTTGTAGAGCTTTTAAAACAACGTGGCACTAACACAAATTTACATATGCAGCAGAAGAATTAAAAGGGTTTTCTTTAAAATTTGCGGGAAAGTTAAAGTTTCTGGTTAAAGGAGCGCTGTTAGAAAGTTAGTGCAATTTTACTCAGCAGGAGATCCCACGGTCTTACAATTGGTTGCATATTAATACTAAAGGTACTACTTTAAGTTGGTGTCACTGTTTTTTTACGAAATAATAATACACCAAAATTCGGCATGTTTTTTTTGAATTTTTATTTCGAAAAATTTACGAATGTGKAATGTTTTTTGCGGCAAAGTTTTAAAATTTTCAAAACAGATTTCGCATGATATCGAAAAACTTTTCAACTTCCTTTGCTATTAATGTACCCAAATATAGTAATATAAAGATTAGTTGTCATTCAAAAATTCTGACTTAGCTATAATAAAGTGTCAAGCACAGTTTTCTTAACTGCCTTTGAATGTTAAACCCATGGTGATCTTAGTCCCAGTGGACAGATCAATCTTTTAACAAAGTGAGTGCCATTCATTGTCGATTTCATTTTCAGGCTTTTTTTTTAGAACAAAAAAAAAAAAACAAAAAATTGCCGCGAAAAAATATGTATTAGCAGGTCWACTGAAAAGTCCTTGTACCTGACTCATAGATGGCGCCACGAKAACGAAGGCTTTTAGTTAGCCCCAATTTTTTCTAATTTGCTGTCGGAACATTAGTTTGTGACTTATAACATTTTGAGTGAGCAACTTCTGTTATTGTGGAAAAAATGGATAAAAAGACATTTCGCATGTTGATAAAATATATATTATTCACTTCGAAATCCAATCGACAGTCATCCGAGTGGACTGCACACGTTGTACCCGCTCTAAWGACTGTAAATGCGAAGTAAAGGGCCAGTAAAATTCTACCGTCTGTATTTTGGAATGCGTATGGAATAATATTTATTAACCACCATGAAAAAGRAGGATCATCAACAGCGTCTATGACATAGCATTATTGAACCGCGTGGAGGCCGAAACCGCCAATAAAAAAGAACTAGAAAAAGAAAGTGTTGTTTCACTAGGATAATGCACCGTGTTACAAGTTACTGAATGCGACGGCAAGAATCTATGATTTAGACTTAGAATCGCTTCCGAATGCAGAGTATTCCACAGATCTGGCCACCGGCGACTATTTCTTGCGCTCAGATCTCAAGTGAATGCTCGCTGGGAAGAAGATTTCATCAAATGAGGAGTTGTGGTGTGTGTGGTCGCTGAAACTGGGACCTAAGCAAGGGACAAATTGTACTTCAAAAATTGTATCGAAACGTTATATGGTCGCTATAATCTGTGTATCACCCTTGGAGGGCACTATGTTGAATAAAAAAAAAGAGTTTTGCCAAAACAGTTAGAACCATTAGTTCTGGCCTTTTTTATATAATATTAATAATATTAGTTAGTTTTCTTAATGAATTCAGAGCTTGAGTCATAAATGGTTGTCTACCGGGTGTAATTAATAATCTATATATAAAGGGTTTTGTTGGCTCAAAAATTATTAATTTTCTTACTAAATACTATTAATACTTTGATTTGTTCCCACTAAAATATAATAGTTCTAAAAAAAAATCCATAAACAACTGCGAACACTGACCATAAACAATAATATTTCATTAAATCTTGGCAAAATTAGCATGAAGTCATTGTCGAAGAGAACCTGTGATTAGCATAAGCCCACACAGCCTCACGAGTCCGTCAATCATACCCGCCAGCACTGCTATCCCAACACTCCCAGCGCTGTCCGCTTAAACCATTGTAATAAAATCTATTTTAAGGAAATATGCTTTAATTCGCAACTTTAATAAACACTCGCGCGTTTCCTTTTGATTCGCTTTTAGCAGCTAAACCACACTGAGAACGCGAAGTCGATTTAATATTCAATTAATGCGAGCGGCTGCAAAATGCTAATCAGCAATAGAGGCGGTGCAGTGCAGAACAAAAACAAGGAACCAGAAAACAACGAAAACAATAGCATTAAAAATAATTACATAATATTGTCCACAGCGTGGTGGAAGCCAAGTTACCGCGCTTGAGTCAGCCCGGCAAGTCGTTAGAATTCGGCTCTTTTCGCGCGTTGCATGATTTGAGTGCCCCTTGAGCAATTAAGAGCCAGCCACCCACCTTTGGTTCAAGAAAAAAATATAGCAAAGCGGTTTATAAAATAAAGAATAAAAACACTCGACTTTTGAATGGCAAAAAGCGCCTGCCAACAGCAACAGGTATAATGCTTAAGACGGCAATAACAATAACAATAGCAAAAGCAATAATAATAGAAATATTGACAGCAAACCAAATGCGAGGCACATGCAAAGGCGTTTGGAAAATCAAATTAAATCATAGGAAGCACGGTCGCAAAAAAAATTATTGACTTGTAAAAAAATACGTTGAACCTGTCGGTGTTCTATAATCGCTAAAGCAAGCAAAAATAAAAACAAACAAAATTATGATAATAAAAATAGATGAAAAATCAATAGAAACCACCTGACGGCGCAAATGAACGCGTGTAAACTTCAACTTGTCATGTTGACACACACGCACACATGCAAACGCACATACATTGCGCAGTGTCGTTGGTGTTAAACGAGCGTGAATGTGCTGTTAAGCGTAAACCAGTTGGAAATTTTTAAAATTAAAAATTTTTTTTTTTGGTTAATTTAGAAAAAAGAAAAAGATAAAACCAACATTGGGAAYAGTTCACTTCAAACTAATTACACGTCTAGTTACTTGGAAAAAGAAATCTTATAATAAAGTAGTTAAGTAATTTTAAATAAGTTTTCATAACTATACAAAAACTAGTTCATAACTAGGCGCTATTGGACTAGTTACATTTTTTCATTAAAGGTTAACTTAGTAATTTTAAAATAGTTTTCGTTAGTTTTCAGGCAAACTAGTTACACAACTAGTTACTTTTGCACTAGTCACATATTTTTTTMTTTTTAACCAAATTATTATTTTAACAAAATCTCACTTTATTTTTCACAATCATTTGCGTTTCTGTCTTACTTTCCTGCTGGGCCATTACTCATGTACTCGCACAGCTCAGTCACATATGTATATGTACATACATATGATTACTGTGTTGGTGGTTTTGCTTAAATTATATTATTATTTTGATCAATCGATTTCAGTTAAGTTGATTTTTTTATAATTACACACGCTTTTCTGCATTTTKTTTTTGTTTTTGTTATTTGCCTTTAGACATCAACAACCTGTTGGCTGGCGCTTATGCTTTCAGCAATTTAGTAACACGAGTATATTTACTTTTGTRCCCTTTCGATGCTTTTGACATACACAATGTGTTCGTTAATCACATCTGTTGTTGYTGTACTTTTATCTTTGTTTCTATAACGTTCATTTATTTTTTTGCTTTTAAAAAAATGGCTTGCGAATTTTACCATAAACTCTTATGGCTTATATTTATGAATATTAAATGGAGTCACCGCAGCCACCAGCACACTTGACAGCTCCGTGGCCATTGACGCCTTTGATGGTCGACGTCTGTGAGTGACAGCGCAGGCGTAGCGGCAAGCGTTGTTGTCTGCRGCAATGAGTTTACTATTTGTTCTGTCGCAGTGGTGGCGTTATTGTGGCTGGCAGTGTTGTTGGTATTGGTGTCAGCTATTTATTCTTTTTGCGTTTAATAGCTTTGACATTTTATTTAGCCAGTTTACGATTTGATGCGGTCATTGTTATTTTCGTTCCGCTGAAAGTGGCGATTTTGCTGCGCTTATTTATTTTTAAACCTTTTCATAGATAATCAATCAATATTCTCTTTCACATTATGTGTCAAATAGTTAGTAGATCAAAAATTAGTGTATACTAAAAAATTAATTTTATTTATTTATTAGATTGAGGGGAATATCTAAATAATGATAAACTGTTGGTTAGATGCCTGTTGCTTGACAAGGGAAAGTTCGTAAAGACAACGGCTAAGTGGCTAAGTAATCTCGGCTGAGACCGAACAAACATTTCCGGAAGTTTTCTAATTTTTATCTAATTTTTACTTAATTTGCAATCCGATTAGACACAAAATTTAACACAAATATATTGATTGATATTTTCGGTCATTGTAAAACTTGACAAACACTACTGAGGATGACTGACGTAAATAGCTGCTCTAAACACACTGGTTGACAGATCACGCCAATTTTTAACATCATAATTAAGGATAGTTGTACCAACCTAAGACAAAATGTAACTCTTTTTCATATAAGCGGCAGATTTAAATCAAGAATTCCCGATACTTTCTTGGCAGGGCGTATAGTCAATTTTAAAGAAAGGGAGATACATTTACAACAAAAATAATTTAATGTGAATTTCAAAGAATTCACCATGCTATATGAGGTCTGACCAAGCCTTTTCCTCATTTACTATTTGCCAAAAGTTAATAAAATTTTTTATGTGAGAAGCGAGCATTATTTTTACCATAATTTGTTTTTTGTTATTATACAATTTTATATTTATTTACTTATTTTATTTAATAGGATTTTTTCTTGCATTTTACCAAATTCATATAAATTTATCGTATTCATTTTTTGCTTTCTAAAATCTATGGGTCAATATAAGTTGAAATTTCTAATTGAAGTTTATTCTTGTTTACATTTTCTTGTTTTCTCGTTTCCAGTAATATTTATGAACACACGAGTGACTGTTTGGGTAAGTTCGAAAATAATTTAAAACATTTCAAYATGCTTTTTATGAACTGAGAAGGGTTTCGCCTAACTTAAGTAACGGCTTAAATAAACTTTATATCAAAGAAATATATTGTTAATTCATACTTATATACTCGTACACCAAATATCAACGCATTTACCACTAACTTCTACAATCACCACATATTTCAAAGCCTTGGCATGTGTAGCTGTGCGCGTGCGTCCACTTGCGCCGCCAATCGGCAGCTGTCAGTGCGTATAAGCAATAACCAACGGTCACTAATTAATACGCCATCAAATCAATGTAGGAAAGCCAAGCACGCCGCTGTTTGTGTTTGTTGTGCCACACCAGCCTATACACKTACATTTGGCAAGAAACGAAAGACTTAAGCAACGAACGCGGCGAAGATGTCACCGCGAACTGCAGTATTTTTAAAGCGGCGGCGGTGATAAAAATGCCGAAAAACATGTTGTCACGACTTGTGYTTACGCGCGCCGACTTCAGCGCGATCGACATGCAAAGCGCATGCGCAYACCGCGCCACCCCCAAATTTAGTGGACATGGCGGCGCGCGCACATAGCGGCACATGCGACACGCCAGCTACCTTAAAAGTAAATATCACGCCTGCAAATGCGGTCACTTGCCGTTGATTTGTTGTTTGCTGTTGTATTTAATGCTGCAGCTGTTTACGGTTTATCAGCGGCTTTTTGTTTCTTTTTTTTTATTGTGCTTTTGCGTGCAACGTCGCGCGCAAATGGCGTCGTCGGCGCGTTGATCTTCTTCAACCTTACGGTAAATTTCAATTTGATTTGAACAAATCGACACGATTTGCATTGCCACACTCGATCGCATGCCACATTTCTTTGGCCTTGCTTCTTTTTGCTGTTATTACTGTTGGCGTTAGCGCTTTCGCCTTTGAGTGGCCGCTGGGCGGTTGGTTGGCGTGCGAAGCGCTACCGTCATTTGCGCCAGCAGCGAAACATTTTTCGCCTGCAGCAATCAATTTTGCATGCATACACATATATATATTCATATATATATTTACTAACTTTAAGTTGTGTACATGTGTATGCGCGCTCTCGCTACGCACATATCAATGCTCACTCGTGTCGCGCTTGTTGACCGCCGCGATGCGCTTAATTTCACTCCACATGCCAAGTCACAAAGAAAAGCTTATCGCCAACAAACTATGCACAACAACAATAACACTTTGCATACGTGTTTACCTGCGYGCTGTGGCGCTGTCACTACGCAGCCTTATTTGGCGGAGCGCAAGTACCATTAACACATTTCCGTGTTGTCGCCACTTGGCAGTTGCACGCATTTGTGTTCATTTGTAAATTTGTCAACGCCTCACTGCCTCACTGTCCATTGCTGCTCTCGTTGTTTTTTTTTTTTTTTTTTTTTTTTAATTTTGTTTTGTATGCAATGTTGTTGTTATTTATCGCTTACATTGTAGTGAATTTGTCAACCGCCCTTGACTCAGCAGCTAGTTTTGTTTAAGACCTCATCAGCGTTTAACCCAAAACAAAGAAACTCAGGTTATGTAAAKGTATCCTCGTAAAGTACATATGTGTGCGTATTCATTTATATTTCAACCTGTCGCAATTTGTTTTTGCTTTTTCGTGTTCACTTCTTTCACTCTGAATTTAATTTCTCATTAAATATATAGAAAGTGCTTATAATGAGATCATTTGCAAAAAAAATATTTTTAGAATAAATACTCGTCCTAATTCTCGTTGCAAAAGTTTTTCTTAGAAAACTTTTTCACTTTTCACAATTTTTCTGCTTTGAAATCCAAAACATATTTCAGTTTATATCTCTCTTGCTTACTTTGGAAAGCCGTTATGTGTGTGTTGTTACCATTYATTGTTATTGAAAACAGATTAACATTTTTAATACTGTTAGTATTAGTTGATTTTGTGCTTTTCTTTTCAAAAATAAATCAAATTTAAATMACTTTCTGCCCTCGAAAGCGTGGATTTTTTGCGAGAACACTTGATTGAAAGCCTTCGGTTTAAATTGATTTCTGAAAATRATAGAAAAAAGGTTTGGATAGAGTTAGGTCTTAATTAGGTGAAATATTTCTTTTCTATGTTATTGACTAAACTTTTACTTCCCTTTGTCAYAAAAATAAAAGTCTCTTCCAATTTTAACATGTATTCTGTTAAAATGTTTGCTATGTACAAAGGTTTTAGATTTCTCAAAGTCTTAAGTTAAGTTTTAACGATGTCAGATTAGATACCGTCACGTAGTTTAGTATTCATTCTTTCTAGCGTTGAACATAAATTGCAATAGCCTTTGCGGCCTTAGTATCGACACTTGTTACTGTGTTTAATACCGTGGGGTCCCAACTGTTTAAGCTTTGCCTTGYTTGTGCAGGACAAGTCGACAAAATACTCCTTTGTTTCTTTGCTCTTGGCATTTCTTATAGTCATCGCTAACTGTCAGCCCTATTCTACATGCGTGTGCCGGCATCAGACTGTGTTCAGTGAGTATTCCAATCATGTGCCTGTAGTCCATTATATCGAATGTCACTAAGAATTTTGTGTACTTTGTTCTACCGTTTTTCACATGACCTTTGCTGAACCTTTGTAGCCTTTGTAGCTCATTACATCGTGTTTTGATTTTCCTTACTATGTTTCTATTTAGATCATCGTAAAGACTTGTCTACTATACAGTGTTATGGATGCCTTTGCGATTTRCATCCATCCATTAGTGGGAAAGTCRCTTATTACTGGCATCAATCTTCARTAGTGTCTGCTTCCGAAGGCATTTCAGGACGCTATGCGATAAGAGGTTACTGTCTTATATGTTGTTTGGCTTTCTATGTAGATGTTGGCTTTGGAGTTCTTCTAAGTTTACACTGAACTTTCTTTCCCACTTAAAAAGTGGTTTTATGYAGTCCGTGCTTGTCAAACAGTCCTTAAGCATCGAGCTATGTTCGAAGGTTGCATATATAAATTCTCTCTCAACCAGTAGTTGCTCCGAAGATTTTGCTGCGGAGATTTCATTGAAGAGATATATTSGTTTAGCTCGAGTTCAAGAGCAACCATCGGAGTGGTTCTTAGAGATCCCGTTATACRCAACGCAGCGCACCTATGAACCCTTTTCACTTGTTTCCAGTAAGTGGATATCTTTACTCCTATCTATCATACTGCTGTACCGATCTTCTTACGTAGCTTTGTAGCACGAGTGCATAAGAGAGTTAGAGATGGCCGAAGTTGTGCTGATTATTTACCTATAYATACAGCATTGCTAGTCTCTCTTTTAATCTTACTAATTGAGTAAAAGTTGTGTCACATTTATAGAAGCGAGGTATTTTGTGTTTTTGTGTGAACACAAGCAGATTYGTTTTCTCCGTACTTAACCACAGACCCGCTTGCGTAGCTCAATTCTGGACTTTTCCAAAGAATATTTTAGTATCAAGTATAGCAATTTCTTCTAAAAAATATCAATTTCCCTCAATATTTCACAGCAGCAACATTTTTAGTTCAGAATTTTATGGCAAGCGTTACGTCAAAAGTCTAATTGTTTGTTGTGAATTGTCGATTATGCAACACAAAATCACTAATTTGAGTCGCCAATGTTATGCAATAGTCCATTACATCCAATAAGTSCAAATTATTTTGACACCAATGTACATTGAAAACAAACCGCAAATAAATGTTATTCTCTTTTCGCAAGAAGTTTTGGGTGTGTGAATTTCCAAAAATTCATTTGTYTACAAAATACAAATTATTATCAAACAAAAAATATKAAAACTGAATAATTCAAAATTTGCAGAACAAGAGGAACAACAAATTGATTCCACCTTGCCAATAAAAAATTGAACTGTTCCATATTTCGTATTCAATATGGTAATTGAAAACATCTGCAAATAAAGGGTGTCTGTTAATCTCAAGATTATTTAAGGTTTTTCACTCTTAATTGCTGTTTTAACTATACTTCATTTATTGATAAACTTCCAAAAAACAATAAAAAATCATGAGTAGAATTAAGAATGGAAAAATTCTCATAATTACTACTGGAACTCAAGAGAGCACTTACTTGATAAGGGACTTGATGAATCTGAAATAAAAAAAAAAAAAAATCATTTCTGTTGCTGTTATAGCTGCAACTAATATACCACAACTAGTTTCTGAAATAATTTTTGAAATGGTCTAAAAAAGAACATAATTCTGGAATATTCTCGGTCGCATTCTGTCTGCCTTACAACCGCAAACATTTGATTTTTACTTAATAACTTGTGAGTAGTTGGGATTTCATTAACTTTTTCTTTTAAATAAACTTGTTGAGCTTTTGTACGTTCAATAGAATATTACGCTGGGCACTCGAAGTATCTCGATTACCAAGTACCGCACTTCAGTCTCCAATTGCCTGTAAAATAGATTTTTCTCTACATCTAATACCATGTCACCCATTTTACTGTGTATTTTTGTAGAGACCAGCTAGTTGCCTGGTTTAATGCGCCTAATTACCAAGCACCCTGTTTATGTGTTGTTTATATAAGCAGTGCCAATTTGCAACATCAAGTGSAAATGGAAATGAGCCGGCGGCGCAACGGAACGAAGTGTACGCCAAGCACACACTACACTTGTCTCAGCTGCACTAAGACGATCATAAAGCAAGAGCAACAAAAGCAAACACAACAGCAGCTGAGCCGAAGACTGTAGAGCCTCAAACAAGAAACCAAAAGGCATTAGCATAAAAAGCCAAGAAAAAAAAAATCAAAAAATAAATAAAAAAAATCACAAAAAATCAAAGAGTAAATCTCGTCAACGCCAACGCACGATTTGTCGTCCACATCACTGCCGCGCTGGCAACAACCATATACGCTTGCATTGCAACAATCGCAAACAGCATGCAACAACAGCTTGATGAGACGCCTCTTCACAACTGCAACACTCCCAACACGCCTGCTGCTGCGTCAAGTCTCCRCTGAACCGCGTTGTACCCAGTCTTCTCCCATACGTTGTATTTTGTTTTCTTCGGCTTSGTCT